GTCGAAGAAACAAATAGTGAATATTTTAAATTAAACAAGAAATATATTGCTCTAAAAGAGAAATATGAGCCAGCCAATGATTAATTTTTAAAAATTGTTTTTTTTTTAATTAATTTGTTTTTGTTTTATTTTTTATTAAATATAATTTTATAAAATTTTATTTTATTTTTATATTAAATAAATAAAAAATAAATAAATTTTAAGAAATTTGGATATTACATTTACGCAAATCAAACGAATAACCATTCTTAAATTTAATGTTTGCTAATTTTGCTTCAGGATAAAGTAATTCAAGTAAATATTCTTTGGTGGTTTCTTCAACAATATTGGCCTTATCGAGAACAAATTTATGTCGCTTAAGAAATTCTCGACGTTCTTTGTTAAGAAGAACATTTTGTTTATCGTTCAACTTAATTTGAATATATTCGGTTATGTGTCCTTCATCATCAGGATACATTATAGGTCTTCGAAAATTTGTATTTTCATTCTCTCTGAACCACGTATGATCCATACGTTTTATCTTTTTTTCTTTAATATTTTAAATTTCAGAATCGCTTGACATTTTAAAACAAATTATATAAATAGAAATCTAATTGGTTTTAAACTGATTAGATATTATTTTTTCTCTGTAACGGTCGTAAATTTAATTTGGAAATTTGATATTCAACAAATTCTTCGGTTAATAAATAAATTTTCTTCCCATCAAACTCTCCATATAAAAAACTTTCTCTGCTTCTATGAAGATAATAAATAAAACTGAAAATATCTTCTATTAAACAAATTTGATCGGAATTTACATTTACAATAAAACTACTCGGTTGAAAATAAAAATATATATAAGTTTTTAAATAATTTTCATAAATTGTTTTAGGAATCAATATTTTAAAACAAATATAATCAAATTTTTGGAAATAATTATTCGAATTTTTCCAAATTATTTCAGTAATAATCCAATCTTGACATAATGTAGAAATTTGATCGAATCTTAATTCGTCACAATCTTTGTTTTGGTTATTAATTTCTAATTTATATTTATTGTTAATTCGTTTTAAAGTTATATTTAATAAAATGCTTTTCATGAGATTATAAAACATTTTATTAACTAGTAATATAGCTTTAACTTCTTCAAAATTTGTAAATTCATAAAAATTTAGTATATTAAGAAATATTTCTAGAGAAAACATTTTAATATTTAAATAAAAATATATCTAATCGGTTTTACAACTGATAAGAGATTTTATTTGTTCTTACGGTGATTCGTGAACACGTATCGATGATTCATATGCTGTATGAATCGTTGATACGACTCGATCCCAGTCTCATCGCAAATCGTTGTAACAAACGCATAAAATTATTGTTAAATGTGGCTTCCTAATCTTCCCTCCTTCCTTTCCTCTAAATTCATCAGTTTTGAATAACTGAAAACAAAAAAAGCTCGAACGCCTCGATTCGATGATAAGTGATTTGTGTTTCTCACAAATCACTTCTAATCGAAATTTCATTTTCAAGCTTTTTTTTAATCATATTTATTTAACAATAAAAATATATTTATTTATATAATATAAATAATAATAATAAAAAATAAAATAAAAAAATAAATACTAAAATTATCTAAAGTAAAAGTCAAGAGTATTCCGATGAATAACTTTCTCGTCTTTTTCAATAATCTCATCTTTAAAAGAACCTATTTTAGATAACTTATCTGCCTGTTCATTACCATAATTACCTTGATGACCACGCACATGAGTTAATTTAACCGATCCTATTCTACTGTCAATAAGTTTTTTTAAATTTCTAATTAAATACTGATTTCTCATGGGTTTGTTATTACTCGTTATGTACCTGTTTTTTTCCCATTTTTCAATCCATTCTCTGATAATATTAACTACATGTAAACTGTCAGTGAAAATTTTTAATGATTTTTTTTTGTTTTCACAACTTTCAATTGCTCTAATAACAGCATAAATTTCAGCACGGTTGTTTGTTTGTTGTTCACCAGGAAGTCATTCGGACAAATTTCTCGGATCTTTATCTCCATAAAACATACCAATCCCAGCTTTAGCTTCTTTAGTCCCATTACCTAAACAACAACCATCAGTCCAGATCTGAATCTTGTTTTTATCTAAAACTACAGTTTCTTTTTTATCATTAATAAAATTTTCAGCATCAGTTTTAAGAGAAAACCTTTGGTATTTAGCATCAGAAAATCCTTTAACTTGCGATTCGCATTCTTCCCAAGTTAAATAAATTCCCGGTTTTCTACCTTTACGAACAGCATAATATCCTGGTTTTGTTTTTGGCATCTAAAAAAAAATGAAATCGTCGTCAGTTAGTCAGTCGACCAATCAGCCACAAAGTGAGAGTTAGTATAATGTAAAGAAAGCGAATTCCTAAACAAGATACGGTTGGAGCCCTCTCACCTTAAAGAAAAAAAAAAATAATAATAAAAAAATACTCGAAGAAAAATCTAATCGGTCTTGGACTGATTAGATGGTTTAAACATAATAAATACGAAATATAATAGTGAGATACAGAAAAAAAGCTTTTGCAACTCGATCAAACACAAAGATAGGTTTGAACCAATCTCGATTTCAAAATTTATTTTTTTTTTTTGTTTCTTAGGAAAATACTAAAGTTTATATATTTTAATTTTAAGAATAAATTATGGGATTCCCTAAAATTTTCGACTAAACAACTTCAGTGAATTACTGAAAGAAATATCTAATCGGTCAAAAGACTAATTAGAAATAGAAAGCTTTAAAATCAAAACAAGAAATATAAATATTCTGAAACACCGAAACCAATTCCTTTATCATATCAATTTCCAATTTATAATATAATAGGAAATAGTTTTTACATTGAATTACAAATGATTGAATTGTGTTCTAGAAGACGAACCAATTCCTTTATCATAGCAATTTCTATGAATCCAAGAGAGCATTGTAGTCTTGGCACATAAACAAATTTGTGAAATACTTTTCACATTGCTCACAAAGATTTAATTTGTACGTTAAATAAAAATCGCTGCTGGTTGGTTTTGTTAAAGCGTCCAAAAGCGATTGACAAGTTGAGGGCGTGTTCTGATAGAAAGTGTAAACGTATTTTTCACAGTATGTGAACAAAAAGCATGCTTCACATGTAGTTTTCCCATATGTTAGATATGTTTGGTAATCAACAAATAGTAAAATCTTTCTAAAGTTTAATAATTGACTTAGTTCAACATGTAATTCGTTATCGTTGGGTATATTGTTAAAAAAATGTGATCGTAGTTTATGTCTCTGAAAACAGTCATCTATCTTAATGTTGATCCAAATAGTCTTGGGACAATATCGTACATTCCATTCGTACTTTTTGATAGAGTGGAGAGTGATGTATTTTGGCACAAGATAATACTTGGTAGCATGGTGTTTAAAATAATAGTGGTAAAATAAATAAAAAGTGCGACAAATGAACTTTAATTGTCTAAAATCACCGCTTTTCAGATTATCGAGCTTGAGTTTGGAAGGAGCCAAGAAAACAAATATCATGTATAATATATTGTCACATAAAGAGATGAATCTCTGATTGTTTTTGGTTCTAATTTTGTTTTTAAAATACGGATCAAGTTTTTGTCGCTTATTTTTTCTTTTCTCATTATGATTGTATTTAATAAAGGTAAAATCCTTTTTTTGTTCCATGATAGATCAACGAAATAATTTTCTGTTCAGTAAATACTGAACAGAACTTGAATATTTATTTATATAAAAATATATCCTGATTTGATGATAGAATACCTTCTCTACAATTAATACAATTATTTATATAATAACATTGAAAATTTCCAATGTCAATCGCAGGTGTCACTTTCTCCAACATTTCTTTAGTTTCAGATATATCGTCTCTGCGAAAATCGTAAAGGCACATGGCACAATATGTAAAATCCCCACAAACATCACATTTTTTTTTTCTATAATTGTTAAATTTGATCGACTCAATAAATATTAAAGTGTCATCGTTTAACACACAATATGGTATTCCTTCAAAGGATCAAAGTTTAACATATTTGTTTTCGTCGATATCAATCAAAATTTCTTTCTTGCAATACTGAATCTTCCAATCAAAACAATTTGGAGGTTTGTAGAGAAGATTATATTTTTGTATCAAATAGTATTTAGTTCCATATCGAGAAAAATAATATTTGAAAATGCGATAAAATCGAGAATCCACAATTTTGATTCGCCGAAAATTGATGAATCTTCGATCATTGAACTTGAATTTGGAGGATCTGGTTATATCATCAGGAATCAAAAATAAGATTATCAAATATAAAATATCATCGTATATCACATTGTTAAATTTTAATTTATTTTTTTTTGTTTTGAGGTAAGGTGAAAGACGTTTCTTCTTTGTACGTTTTTGACAGGGCATTCCTGTTAAATTGCAGAAATAAGTTTCTGTTCAGTATAAATACTGAACAGAAAAAATAAGTATAATTACAATAAAATATATGTTCTTTTGTGAATATTATATTGTTGTGTTTTAAAGTTTTAGTCAGTATTATCATTTCTATCTCGTTAATTATATCAATCGTTAATTCGTAAACATCAGATGAATATTTTAAACGATTATGTTTTTCTGTCAATATTAAAAATTCTTTGAATTTTTCCAAATTGAAATTATTTTGTAATAGGTAGTTTATTATAACAGATGATCGTTGTTCTTTTGTATAGAGTTTTGTTATTTCAACGTAATTTAATATTTTAATACTATTAGTCTCAAATAATTTATAAAACATCGTTGAAGCAAAATAAAGAAACGAATCCTTACTATTTATATATCAGTGAGGTTGTACAAATTTAATTTAGTTTTCTTCGTTTGTTCCCTTTTAGAGTAACTGAATTCTTTTCTGTTGAGAAAAAATCTGTTATTCTTTGTTGCTTCTTAGATTTATCCAGATTAAATATTTCCTCGATTTTCTTTAAAGCTTGTTTCTCTTCACAACCTAAAAGATGCGCTACAATATTACGTAAACTATTGAAATAATAAATGATATCAATAGTATTCTTCCTGGGATCAAATTGGTCAACCAGAATCATTTTGTCTGAAATTGACGTATTTTGTTTTGTTTTAATATAATAAAAAAAATGACCAGGTTCGATTGCGCCATTTAGTCTCGCAACAAATTTTAATACCATCGTATTTCCTTTTTTCTTTGTTGATTTTGATATTTGTTGGAGTATAGGTTCAGATTTTTTTTTATCAAAAAGTTGAATATAATCTATCGCGGAAACAAACGTGTAGGTAGGGTCGTATTTTGCTATAAGCACAAATAAATCTAGTATTGTTTCTTTCTTATTCACATAATCTGTGATTATTTGTTTAACTATTTCCTTTTGATCTATCTCCTCGGTTCTAATCGAAAAGTCCTTATTGAATCCAAGTGATGAATATATCAACTCTTTGCTAACAATCTTGTAAAACTCTGAAACATTTCACTTAACTAATTTCAAACTCTGTAAAAATAATTTTAAATTATCAAGATCAGGTTCGTGAGAATGTTCTATTTCAACATAATGTTTTTTATCAAAAATCAAGAATGGGTATAAGGTTTTCTCGTATGCCATTTTAAGATATGTGGTTTTCATTGTTTTTTGTAAATATTCGTTGATTTTTTTTTCAAGGATTTGGGATTGTTGGATCGTTAGCTTAATCTGTTCTTCCCAATATTCTTTTTTGGTTAACAATTTGTTTGAGTATTTTGAATCCAACTCAATGAAATAAGATTCTGGTAATGAATAAAATATCGAATCTGTATCACCGTAAACGACTGTAAAACCTTGCTCTTGCACAAAATTGATTACTAGTCGTAATGTCGCTCGACAAAATGCTGTGATGGATGATGCAACTTCTTCTCGGTACAATGGAGAAAATCGATATCCAGTTTCACCATAAATAGAGTTTGCGAATATTTTTAACGCTTCAGACAATGATGTGAAATAGCGAAGTTTTGTGTTATCAGATTTGTACAATTTGATATTTTTTTTTGCTTCTGCTCTTTTATCTAATAATTCTTTACACATCAAGGGCATAATCCCCATCTTTTCGATAATACCATTGTGCGGAACAAATTTACCATATACAATACCATTATCAATTATAACATTTAATGATGGATCTGCAGATTCTTTTGAAACACATGTTTCTAGAGAGATGTTATTCTGAATAATGAAATGGGGATAATATGATGTGAAATCAACATCCGCAACGGGCTTTTTAATGTTTTTGTTAGGAGGAATAACTAAAGCTCCTGCGTATTTTCCTTGATGGACTGTTCCTTTACAACGAAAAGAAACTAAAATTTTATCTGAAGCAGCACATCTACAAACTAAATTCCGTACCAAACAACCAACTCCGTTAGTGAAAATATTTGAAATAGTTACACATGATATGGTCGCTCGTTGAATGTAATCTCCTATTATATTTCTTTTAATGTTTAATTCATATAATCGTAAAGTATCAACCGAACAATAATAAGCTAACTCAATAGCATAATCTTGTAGAATCGAATCAGGAACATGGAATGCTGCAAGACAGAGCGGTACTGGAATATTGATCATTTTTGACAGCTGTTCGGATAATCTATTCAATATTTGTCTGTTGTTTTTAAACTTAATCGCATTTGTATAAACAAACATGCAATGTAGATCGATAGAATTTTTAGCGGGAACATATGGTAGATCGATTTTTCTGGAAAGGCCACATCTTTTTAACACAGCATTGAGAGTGTTGGTTATCTCTGTTTGAAATGTTTTCTTGGCCCAAACGAAAAAATCAAGGAATACAGTTCCTGGTGCTCTCATAAATTCACATTGCATATTCTCAGTCGGAGATATTTTTATGTTTTGATTGAACATATTGATACCGGCAAATTCATATTTCAAATTTTCTTTCGATATGTCTCTGTCGACAACTCTGACAGTTACCCGATTTACTTGAAACTTCATATCTGTTTCTGTTTTGGTCAATATTCTGGTAAACTCATCATCAACCTGTAAAAGTTTAGCTTTCTTAAGTATATAATTCCAATCAAATTGACCTGTGTTATATCCTATCTCGAAATCCGGTTTAAAATTTCCGAATAATTCAGCAAATTTTAATAAAAGTTTTTCTTGGGATTCTAACTCGATAAATATTATTGATGTTTCAGGATATTTCTGATTGAATCGTTTGCTATTGATAGGTATGGTTGATAAACAAAATCGTTGACTAGGAGATGTCTGATTGTAAAAGACAATGTCTAATTAAATCATGTAAACATAATCTTCTTCATTCTCAGCTAAAAGAAAATATCCAGGACCACGACTCGATGAAGTTTTAATATCCCAATATAGTAACAAAAGCTTAGGTATCTCGTAATAATCGAGTTTCTTTATATCGTTTAAAGTAATCAACATATTGTCGTAAATAGTTTTAGTAGTGATTTCGTATCATCCAACTAACTCAAAATCGTTTTCGCTCGTGAATTTTCTATAGTAGCATGTCTCATTATCCGAATACGTGTCGTA